CATTTCCATTATCAATGTGTCCGTCACTCACCTGAAAGATATTCCTTCTGCTAAATCTCAACAGCTGAATGATCAACAGCTTAATGGGTCCATTAAAAAGTTAAATAACTCCCACTCACCGCTTAGTCACATCCTTTGCAGAATGTCCACCAGATGGGTTTGCTATTACACAGAAACTCTCCTCTTTTCCTCATCAGCAACACAGCAGCATCATAGACACCCATGTTAGCCTTTTTATTTAATAATAAAGGGAAAAAAAGAGCTCAGACACACACCGATATGTAGTGGAATGTCCGGATACATCTCTTTCATTTCAGATACGATACCAATATCGCAGCTTTGAGAGTTGTCCGATACCGATATTGACCCAATATGATAATAGCATGTTTCACACCAACTTTTATTACTTAAATACTGTAGAATGTTAGAAAAATCCTGTTATATCACTAAAACAGGAAACACACGTCAACAAAAAAGGTATAAAAACAACTGACCCATGTAAATTTAACCAATGAGTTACAGAAACTTAACAGAAGTAGAGTGTTTCTATCAGTGTGAAAATATCCGAGATTTTAGATGCGAGCAAAAAAAATTTCGATATTCATTTTTAGCGATATTGATATCAGATGGGGACATTCCTTATATAAAGCTGAACATGGTCTTCTCTAGACCAGGCATCCCCAAACTCGGTCCTCAAGGCCCCCTGTCCTGCAGGTTTTAGAGGTTTCCTTGCTCCAGCAAAGCTGATTTTAATTGAAAGCTGATTAATAGGCTTTTGGTCTACTGCAATCATTATACCCAGCTGTGCTGAAGCAGAGAAACCTCTACAACAGGGGTGTCAAACTGGTTCCAGAAAGGGCCGTGTGGCTGCAGGTTCTATTTCATCCCTACTGACCGCCAGAGGCGGTGCTTGGCGGTCATCCGGGATTCATAGAACCGTAGTTACGGTAGTAACTTTCGTTTTCTTTCCAACCAATCAATGGCACACCAGACTCCATTCATCTCATCAAGTGAGTCCAATCTGACCATGATGACTTGATAAGATGACTGGGGTCTGGTGTGCCATTGCTTGGTTGGAAAGAAAACTTGCAGCCACACGGCCCTTTCTGGAACCAGTTTGACACCCCTGCTCTACAACCTGCAGGACAGGGGGCCTCGAGGACCGAGTTTGGGGATGCCTGCTCTAGACTAAATTATTTTCTGTAATGCTCTACTAGTCTGAGTTATTATTCCTAACATTAGTGTTTTAGAACAGCACAGGTCTATTAAAAGAGGAAGAGCACAGCTGAGGCATCCTGCTTTACATTATTGAATATTTTCCAGATTATTGAAAATTTTCCAGTTAATGGTGCATAAAGAGAGAACTTAATGTTTTATATACTTAATTTCTTAACCTTTTAGGTTGACTTGTATGACTGTATTGACTAAAATATGTCTATAAACTCACTGCCCTGCTTATTAGATATACCTGTAAAGAAAAACAGCAACCCAACTGTTTATCCTGATGAAATAAGGAGGTAGAGCATTCAACTGCATTACAACAGGGAACAAAAACAATTTATGTGTCATTAAATGTGGCATAATTGAGCTTTTTTGGAATACTTTTCGGCAAATTGCCATAAAATAAGTCCTATAAAAAATGTTCAGTGAGGATGATTTTTAAAGTTCCCCAGCTTAGTCTACCATGGGAAATGGGAATAGATCTACTTTTTTTATACTAGAAGTCACTAAGCTCAAACATTCCCATTGAACAAGGAGACGAGCTGGTGCCTTGCCAGGGGATTTCTGGAGTCAGCATTTAAGGGGTGCTGTCTGGCATGTTTAATGTTTATTTGTTTTACAACACGTGTGTAAAATAAGTTTATTACTAGGCATCTGCTGAAGTATTCATATTCCTAGAACTTTTCCGCATTTTGTCATTACAACCTGAAAACTAAATATAATTTTATGGAATAAAATGTAAAACACCAACAAAATGATACACATACACATGTGTGAAGTACAAAGAAAAATATACATTACTTCATCTCTGTGTCTGTGTAAAAGTATTCAGCGCCCCAGGCCAATCTTTATGGAATCAACTTTTGCTGAAATTACAGCTGCAAGTTTTTTAGGGTATGCTTCACCATCTTCACCATCTCTGCTAATGAGAAGAACCCCCAGAGCATGATGCTGCCACCAACATACCTGTTGCCCTGACAAGGACTTAGAGAGACTTCTGCTGGTTCACCTCAGCAAGCAAACTAGCAGCTATCAGGAGCCCCTGCAGTTTGCTTCTTGCTGTGGAGTTGAAGATGCCATCAGATACACCCGCTTCCACAAACCTACTGTCATTTAGACAAGGCAGACGGCCCTGTGGTGATCATGTTCTTTGACTTCTCCAGTGCATCTAATATAATTCAGCCTGACTTACTTTGTGAGAAACTCCAGAAGACTCAGGTGGAGGCGTAAACTATCACCTGGATAAAAGACTACCTGACAAACCGACTGCAGTTTGTTAGACGAAAAGGTTAGCTGTTTAACCAAGTTGTCAGCAGCACAGGAGCACCACAGAGGATGGTACTTTCCATTCCTTTTCACACTGTACTCAGACTTCCAGAACCAGACAGTCTTGCCATCTGCAGAGATAACCGGATGATTCTCATCTCTCAGCTCTCATTGGGTGCATCAAAGATTGACAAGAAGCTGAGTACAGAGAGCTAGTGAAGCGCTTTGTGGGATGGTGTGGGAAAAAAATAATCTGATCCTGAATGTCAACAAAACAAGGGAGATGACTCTAGATTGCAGATGAAAAAGGAACAAGGTGAAACCTATTAACATGGGAGAAGAAGCGGAGGTGGTTGAGTAGTATAAATACCTTTGTGTTCACCTGGGCAACAAACTAGACTGGGGGCACAACTGTGAAGCCGTCTACACAAGAAGGGAGAAAGTAGATTGTACTTTCTAAGGAAACTTAGGTCCTTTTGAGTTTGCAGCAAGACGCTACATATCTTCTATACGTCTGTTGTGGAGAGTGTGATGTCTTCCTCCATCCTCTGCCGAGGTAACGGCATTAGAGCAAATGACTAATGTGACATTAAAGAATGAATACCTTTGCAAGCTACAGGAATAATTTCTTCATTTTAATCAGCTGTGCTGGATCAGAAGCCCAGTTAAAACCTGCAGAACACGGCCTCCTAACTTTACACGTACCGCATTTTCCAGACTATAAGCCTACTTTTTTCCCACGCTTTGAACCATGCCGCTTATCAGAAGGTGTAGCTTTTATGTGGACTTTTCCTACAGTAACTGCCAGAGGAGGAAGTCAAAGAATAAGGGTCTAATTTTCAGCAGACATGACAGAATGTCACTACCAGAAGCATGTTCCATACCATCAGCACATTTGCACATGCGTAACCAGATATACATCAGGGTCACCCTCAATTTCATTTTGTAAAAAAACACCTAAATTATGTGTTCCCTTCCTTAAAAATAGTAAGCATACTAAATTATGTGTTAAGCTTAATAATGTATTTACTGAGAAAATAAAATGCATTAAAATCCGGTTTTATCACTTGTCTGTGCCGGAAATGGAATGGAATGCTACTTCCGAAAGCTAACTTTTTCAGTTTTAGATTTAAATATTAATCTAGTCTTTTATAGTTTTATTTTTTCCTTTTGTGTTAACCGCAAGGTATATAGTGCGTAATCTAAAGAAAGAAATAACTAAAAATAAGATAAATATGGATTAATCATATTTTGCAGGACTACTCTGAGCATATCCGATGATGTCATGTCCGATAATGACGAGCTGTTTGATGGAGAAAATGTAAATACCATGGAATTGTCTCAGAAAAGTCATATAAAAGTTTAAGATTTATATTAGCATTCTTTTGTGATTTAAGGATAGAAAGTCATTTTATTAACATAAATACATTATTTATGGCGACCTGGATGAATATCTGCTTGCGCATGCACAAATGAGCTGATGGTCGTACTTCCGGTATGAATCAGGTAGTGACAAGGAAAACAAATGTCCCGAATTCAGACATTTTGACATTCGCACCTTAGAGCTGCCGACACAATGAAGAGACTGGACTCAACTCCTGCAGAGCTGAAATAAAGCGCTGACGAAGCCCCATCTTTCAGCAGAAACTCTTACTGCCGCTAGCACACCAGGGACTATATGTAGAGCTCCCCCTACAGGTTTGGTGGGAGACAGTTCAGCAGCTATTAACGGCTTATGGCCAGGTGTGGCTTATTTATGCAAATTTCCAGTTGTTTTTTTTTTTTTTCAAAAAATGTTGTGGGCGCGGCTTATAGTGAGATGCGCTCTATAGTCCAGATATAACAGTAAATAACTTTTCTCTAACACCAGTGGCCTTCAATAGTTGTTATATTTCAATCTAATACACACCATTTGGTGTAACAGGGGATTTGCATCCTAACAAACTTGCAGCAGGTTTTCATGGATGAGGTCATGTGAATATTGACAGGAATCCGTGAGGGACTTTTTTTTTTTTTTTTTTTATTGACTACATGACCCAAATAATCAAGGCACTTCTAAAGGCAACGATGATGTAAAAAAAAAAAAAAAAAACACCACTTGGAAGATGTACCTAATATAATGGCCAGGAATGTATAAGCTTTACATTAGGACTGGAACAACTGCACTGACTGGCTTACATTCACTTGCTGAAATGTCAAATGTAAATTGTAATATAGCACAGCTGTAAACCTACTGGATACTATCAGATGACAAATAGGTAAAAAAAAAAAAAAAAAAAAAAAAAAAAAACATGAAGTAGCTGTAAGACACTCTTCCAGTGGTAAACTATTAAAGTTTGAACCTCAAGGAGCTGGATATTGTATTTTGGATGCATATACACAATGTTCAGTAATAAAAACAAAGACTAATAAAGTTAAAAAACAAAAAAAATCTGTTCCAGTATTTCAAGACAAATGTAGATCAAGTTGAGCTTCCATATTCAGAAAGTATGTAGACAGTTAAGAGAGATTGCTACAGGTGAGAAATGTCCCTTTATTGGCCAAAGCAAAAGGAGACTCCACATTTTGTATGGATATATGATCATACAAATTTTTTCACACCAACATCAAAAACAAATAAGAGCTTTTTAGGTGGAAACATCATGGATGAACTTACAAGCAACATAATGCTTAGAATCTAAAACACTACAGACTTCATCTTAGCAATCTACAGTCAAAACACCTACAAAGCATGTTCTATGAGGGGCGTGGAGTCTTCAGGGAAGCAAAATTCATAAACAGCATGACAAAATATGAAAGAAAACAAAAAGCAGCTCAGTTAAATAAAAGGAAAATGACTCCACCATCTTGCTATACCACATCTTTTATGTGGCAAAACTGACCCATTCAGTTTCATTAGTATGACTTTAATAAACAAGAACAGATGTTCACATGTCACCATCGCAACAGATCACACACATTTGATCGCACAGGCTAGGAAAAAAAAAAAGCTTTTTTCTTGTAACTTTATCATTGAAACATAGGACTATCAGTTTATCAGCACAGGACCAGATTTTACCGAAGCAACATAGAATGTTAAGCTTTGAATGCAGCGAACAATGCTTGTATTTTTTCCCATTTGAACAAAAAACATTTTATCACAGCATGTTACTGAGCAACAAAGCATGTGTATTTCAAACCACAGCAGCAGAGCATTCTTAAGCTCATAAAGCAAAAAATGTTTGACACTCTTTACAGATAGGTAATCATAGCAAAGAAAGACAAGTGACTGTGGATACAACATGGCAGCAAAAAAGCTATACGCTCAGTGAAACTAATATGGAAGGACCAAAATCCTGCCAACAGCAAGGTTAAAACCATCACATCCGCAACCATCATTGTGTACAAGCAAAATCAGAGGAGATGCTGCAGAAAAAGGACAAAGAAAAACAAACATTGAGTATAGTCTTTTCTTGACAGACTGCTTAAGACAGCGCTTACCTAAAGATATATACACAAAGAGGAAGTAGTTCTATAACTTTTACTGAATGAAATCCACAAGATTCTTGACAGCTGGGTTATTTCAGGACCAGGTATAGTTCAGCCAGACTTGGTGAACCAGACACATGTAAAATCCTATTAACAGTTATATTATTCAGGCGTTTTAAATCAGGTTTATTTTAACTTTTCGTGCTCCAATTGGTCTATCATTGAGTTCCATTACAGCAGCAGTGGCCTCGTCTTGACTCTGGAAAGCCACCATTGCCTCACCATTGGGCATGCCTTTGTCATTGAACTGTAGGCAGACAGAGCCCGGCACCACCTGGTAACCATAGAAGAAGTCCATAATTTCATCCACAGTTACAGTGAATGGCATGTTCTGAAGTTTTACAATTGTTGGGCCAGCAGCACCACGCTGACTATTGGGGTTGTTGGATCCTCCAGGGGGTGGCTGGTTACGGAGGGCTTCATTCCCAGGAGGAGTAAACACTTGTTGACCACCTGCTGCTCCACCACTTGGAAGTCCTTGGTTGTTGTTGTTGCTGCTACTGCTGGGCCCTCCTCCTCGGTTCTGTCCCCCTCCACCTCCCTTTCTATTGCTATTGTCAAAAGGCACTAAGCCTCGCAGCCCATCCTGGCCAAAGGGAGCTCCACCAGTAGCACCAGGGCAAAAGCCTGGTGGTTCTAAGATAGGAGCTCCAGGTATCCCTGGAACCAGAGGAGGAGCAACACCTAGATTCACTTCCCCTAACCCCGCCGGCAATGGTGGCATGGGAGGGGGGCCTGCAAGGCCATTGCCTGGGGCCGAGAAGGGAGTAACAAATGGGTTACTGTTGAAGCTGCCCATGGTGTTTCTAAGAAAGTTGAATTCATCACCACTAATGCCTGCAAAGGGATTAATCTGGGGCTGCTGGGGATTAGGCTGCACCTGCTGCTGCTGCTGCTGGTTTTGGTTCTGATGGTTTTGATTGCGTGGACCCCTCTTGTTTTGGGGTGGTGGATTCCTCTCTATCTCCATCATCTGTTCAAAGGTCACCAGATGGACAAAGGCATCACGGCCGTTGAGTTTTTGGCGGTGTAGTCTTTCAGTTTTGCGGGCATCTTCCTCGGCTCGCAGCTGTAAGATAGCTTGCCCCAGACCATTGCCATTGCTATCAGTCAGTACTTTCAGCGTTTCTTCATAAATCCCTATACCATCAAAAAAGGCACGGACATCTTTCTTGGAAATGTTGTAAGGAATGTTACTAATGTGGACACAATTTCTTGGAGCTTTCATGCTGTCTGGGTTCTTGCCATCACCTTGTGTTGTATCACGTTTGCGGATGGCATCAATCTTTTCTAGCATTCCCTTTCGGCTGATTGGATGGACTTGGATAAAGCGGGAGCCCATGTATTGCATGTGAGCTCCGAGCCCAGCCTTGTAGTCCTGTTCCGATTTAAATTCAAGGAAGCCTTCTCCTGTAGCACGCCCATTTGGGCCATAAGCAATGAAGATGCTATCATCTACAATGGCCAAATTGTTAAAGAACTCCTTAATTTGTCTTTTGTTGGCCTCATAAGGAAGACCTTTCAGATAGACACAAAAGTCCTGCCTGTGAGGAGATCGAGACCTGTCTCGATGATCTCTACCTCCAGGATTTACATTGGTGCGGCAGTGCTGCTGATCTGGGGGCTCATTATTTAATTTGCCCATATTATGAGACATATGGCTTACCCTATTGTCATACATGCTAGCCCATTGATGGTCAGACCCTGGGCTTATCTCAATGTATCTCTGGCCCATCATGCCACCACCTCGCTTTAAAGCTTCAAAACTGTCCTGGGGCAAGAAGAACTTAACCATAGCCCTTCCATTTGGTCTTCCCTGCCCATCCCTCATTAGGCGCACCCCATCAACTCCAAGACCCCGAAAAAACTCCCTGATATCCATTTCTGAGCAGGAGAATGGCAGATTTTGGAGGAGAACATAGAATTCATCAGGGTTCGATGTTCCTGACCCAGTGGTAGCGGCTGCAGCAGCTTTCATATGAGCCCGAAGGCCAAGAGAAGCCAAAGGAGAAAGAGGGTTGAACAGCATAGGATTGGGGGCTCCAAGTGGTAGGGCTGAGCCCATTCCTGTAGGGGGAGGTAGGGAGGGGTTAAAAGGAGGTAGAGAGGGCATATGGGGAAGGTGGGACATTGGGGGCACAGGAGGACCCTGGGACAGAGGTGCAACAGATGGAACGGGGGGAAGGGTGGATACAGGAGGAGGAACTGGAATTGAGGGCATTGTGTTCATTGGAGGCATGGAGGGCATGTTGGCAAGAGCAGAAATGGGTGGAGGACCAGCACTGAGTGATGATAGAGCTGTTGAAATTGTGGGAGTTGAACTGTAGTTGTTGGGGAAGCTTGGCACAACATTGGTCATAGTAGTTGCTGCTTTGTTAGCAGGTTGGTCTTGAGCTGAGCTTACAGCAGCAACTGAGACCGGGGTGTTGAAACCCTGATTCCCATGGCTCCCAGACCGCCCTCCTCCCCCGCTTTGCACTGTGGGTATGGAGGATGCCGATGGCTGTCGGTTAGTATTTCCTGCAGTGGGTGCAGCTATGTCCACTGGCCCTGCCCCAGCTTCAAATCTACGGCGGCTAAGTTCAATCATGTTCTGCATTTCTGTCTTACTACTAAGTAACAATGACACTTTAGAGCCTTTGATGGACCCGCCTGTACGCATCATCCCTAGTCGAGCATCCTCATCTGTGGCGAACACAATGAAGGCTTCACCATGTTCCCCACCCACGATGTGCACTCCCCCATCAGGAATGGTGAGACCGGAGAAGAAGTGTCTGATGTCCATGGTCCCAGCCACTATGGGCAGACCCTGGAGCCTGATGACTACAGCCATACTGACTGTTTAACAACAGCCCTACAACCTGGGGAGAAAGCAATACTACCATCAGATGAAGAGCATAAAGAAATAGAAGCTTTTTCTAAGTTTCAAACTTGAAGATACATAAGCAACAAACAACAAATTTTCTATGCTGCAAACTAATTTTAGGCTTAAATAGAAATCTCAGCATTTCGAAGATGTTTGTATAGAGTAGGGGGAAGCTAAACAAAACCATATTAAGCAGCTTTATTATGTTTGGTAATCTTGGTCAGGAAGAAAGATAAACAAAACAAAAAAATGCTTTTTTGTTTACCCACAATGGAAAAAACAGTGAATAGCCACAGAATACAGGAGGAAATAACACTTGTGGTGGATACCTTTGTGGTTGCAATGCAGCTTCATGCTCCCAAAACATATGAAAAAGTCCAAAATATTGCACTCTCTCAAATGTCCAAAAAATTGTTTGGTAAAAACAACAGCGCTAAATCTGGTTACTTCTATCTTCAACAATACTATAAAAACCCTCTCAAAGTGATGTGGTTAAAAAGAATCTCCACCAAATCTGGTTAGTTTGTACCTAAACTACAACTTATTTAAAATGTTCATTCCTTTTCCAGCTGTTGAAATAATATAAATAAAATAACTCTTACTTATACCATGCCAAAAACAAATTTTTCGATGACTATGAAAAAACCCGCAAAACAATTTCACCCAAAAGTGTATGGATCTTCTAAACAAGAGAATTTTCCAAGTAGGACCTACTACTTTATAAACAGGTTCATAGTTACAATTTGCTGGAAAAATAAGACTTTTAAACTTTAAGTACTATGGGCAGAAATGAATTGGACCAGTTTCTTCGAAAACTTAAAAAAATAAAACCTGTTTTTTTTCCCAACACTGACTAACTTAAAGGACTTAAAGATGCCTGTCTTGTCTACTATATTTAAAATAAGCTAACCAATTGTTATAGACTAGGGTTGGGTGATAAATCAACAAAAATATTTATTCCATATGAAATATGCAATTGGCTCTCTTGCTAATATCAGAAATTTCCATATAGCTTTTTCCATCTTTGTAGAATTCATGTACAGTTTAATTTCATAAAATTTTCCTAACACACCACTCCTTTGCTCTTCCCTCCTTCTCATCAGATATACTTAGCATCCAGTATGTTTCAACAAGAGGAAGCGTCATGGCAACACCATTGTAAAAATGAATAATTATTAGAGATTTCAAATTAATATGCCAACAAAACCCAACTTCTGAATAAAAGAGTGTTTATGAAGAAAATAGTTTAACAACCTGGACAATGTTTGCAGACTAATACAGTAAGAGAGAGATGTAAGCTTGTTCCATTAAAATGGCTTTGGTTGTTGGATACAGCTTGTCTGCTGAAGGAGACAGAAAACTCAAAGACACAGTTGGAGGCTGTACAACTGAAGATACTAACAAAGCATGCAGCTACAATATCTTTGATGGTCTATAGTTTGAGGTAAAATAATTAACATCAGGGTCCATCACTTATTCATAGAAGGGTGAGTAATTTAGCCTATTTGCTTTTACAAAACAGCTTTTAATCAGATCTTTTGAGGCTAGATCTTATAAACGGTGTCTGATGTGATCTTAAATATTAGCTATAGAATTTATGCTTCTTCTAATATTATTTGTCTAACAATTTGTCTGCATAATTTTCTGAACAATAAGATTAATGAATTGTTGAAAGAACTGATAATCACTAATCAAACAGAATCGTTGACTGTGGGGTAGAGACTCATAACAAAGCCATTTGATGAATAACAATAAATGCTTAATACATGATTTTTAATCAAATTATGTCCCATCATTGTAGTGAGGGCTGTGCTATAAGGCTAAAAACTACATCACATAAGCCTTTCACATTCGTCTATATAAACGATAATTGAAATTTTAGAGAGGACCAATTGAAAAATACCAAATTTAAATTGAAACCTAATCCTAAATAGGTCAGCCCCACCAAAAATGGATATATAAGATAGACCAGTTGGCCAAATTGGTTCAGCTCAGGAATGCTGGCCTCCCCTGCAGACCCTTCCTCTCATCCCCAGTTATCTCCGTCTCCGGTGAAGATGGTCGAGGGAAATCTTTTTGCTCCATCGCAAAACTATAATTGTTGGGATTACTCAGCTTGTGTGGTTCCAAATACAAGTGTTCTGCATTCAATCACAGCCAAAACCGTGTTAAGCTCTCTTTCTTCTGCCCGTTCCACAGTCCTCTGGGTTACACCTTCCGAGCAGCATTTTTTAATTACACTTTTTAATTATTGAGGATGAAAGTAAGAATCTCCAGCAATGTGAGTTGTACTTAAAGATATGATGCAAAATGTACTCTAACATAATGTTTGTCTTTTTCCCAGCCCTAGCCTTAAGTATGAACAGAACAGATAGATAATTGCAGATTAGAAACCTGCTCCTAAACCAGTTTATACAGAACTATGTCATCTCTGAAAAGAAAAACATGTAACCAGATAAACAAAAAAAAAGTGTAGCTGGTGACCAGTTGTTTTGCTTAACTGGTCCAAATAAATAAATAAATAAATGTAAAAATACTCCAGCCTACCACTGCAAAGGTCTGAGGACAATCATAAGAGGGCAAGTCGTTATTAGCCTCTGTTTTCTAATAATGAATCACCAATCAGGGCAGGCAGGCTAAAAAATATATTTTTGTGTGCTGATGATTAAAGTCCTTCAAACAGAAAGCAAAGTCTGCTAAAACAAGCTGAAGAATACAATCTTTTGACAGGTACATCTTTATTCATGAAACCACTTTAGAAAACTCCTAATTCTTCTTGCTCTGAGAAAGCTGGAGGTTTTTCATTTTTATCTTACCTCGCAATGCAAAGAAATCACCTAAATGTTTAAACAAGCTTGTCAAATGTGGTGCAAAAATAAATCTCATGCAGTTCAAACTCACCAATGCAACTAAGCAGTGTGTTTACTTTCACTGAGTTACAGGATTTCTGCAGCACACTGAAACCTGGTGAAAAGGTCAGAGAAACAAACATTCCAGTTCAAAACATTTATCATACAGCAAAATAACACGAATGACTGAATTAACTAAAAGTGAAAGGTGCGTGTTCAGTTATTTGCAAGATGTTTTTCAGCATGTATCTGTGTCAAGAGCCAACTCCAAATCAGACTCAAAAATGTAAAACTAGTGTGTTATTGGCAATAAATGTAGCTGAGTGTAAACAACAATTTCCACCTAACCTGAATGTGGAGAGTTTGATAATGACATCAGACAACCAAATTCTTCTAACTAACCTGGATGAAACCATCATGGCTTTAAACATTAAATTAATTCAGAAATCTGACGGACTCAAAGAGTTTCTGCAGAAACCACATCACAACATCGAGACATCCCCCCGGATTCATCTCACAATCAGCAATATGTACATATATACACACATCTGATTCAGCAATCAGGTCTTCCTTGTATATGAGAGAGTAAAATGACCATCTTACACAGCAAACATCATAATATAAACCCAACATTAACATTACAACAGCAGCAACAACAGGAACTCAAAAGAAGAATAGAAGAATCATTATTAATTTAGAGAAGGTAATCTTAGGAGCATTTAACAAGAGCAGGATTAACATCATGTCAACCAGAGCAACATTAGCATAATTTAAACCATAGCAATGCTCACAGCTGAACATCAGCAAAGAACAAATGACAGCAGCTGATCAACAAAAAAAGTAAACAGCAGAAAAGAGCAGAGCAATATCTTAGCCAAGACCAAAAGCACGCTGGGCAAAAAAAAGACAGCGCAAACCTGCCTTTTTATCGTCTGCACTGCCATTCAAGATGGATAGGACACAGCCCTCTGCAACACAGCAAAGATAAAACTTCTGGGAAAACCAAAAGCCTGCATTCCTACAGTGCAACACACAAAACCATGATGCTCATCATCATCTAAAAAAGAAGTTCCAGTGGAGAAATATAATACCTGGCCAACTCCTTTAATGCTTTAAAAGACATCTTCATGTTTTAATGCCTTTCCACCAGTCCTGACAAACCGGTATCAATGTGCTCAATGTAGATGCAACATAAAGAGGAGAAAGAAGATCAAAATACTATAGAAACCAGAAGAAGAAACCATCCAAGAACAGCTGGACATTCAAGGATCAGCGATGCAAAATGAAGCTTGAAAGATTTAGAAAAGCACTTCCTGCAAAAAGAGGGGGAAGAATTAAAGATTTATATTCATCAACAGCAAATTCAGAATCTTTTAGACTTTTTCAAAACAAAACCACTTAAATCTTTCCTTTGTCAGTTCCAAGCCACAGGAAAGAGAACGGTTCAGGAATTACTTTGTTCAATAGACTGAACCCCCTCGACTAACTCAAACCCTGAAGACATGATGTAATCCAAAACCAGTTTGAGAAACATGGCAAGGCAACATGGAAACCAAACCTTTACCAGAACAATTAAACAGCATCAAATAGTCTATTTCTAACTTTCTATCTTGTAATGATACTGAAGATTTGGTGACTTGGCTGGTACAGAACTCCATTAACACTCATTCTGAACTGGAAACCAAAGTACAGATACAAACAAGTTATTTATAACATTAATATTAATCTTCAGTCATTTAATTCCTCCAATAACAAAAGGCTGAAGTCATGCATGGTTTTATGCAAAACTCAAGTTATGAGGCCATTCAGAATCTGTATCATCTTCTTCCAACTAATTTCATTCTTAAGAAAAGACATTGATCATCCAACAAAACACACAAAAGCAGAAGAAAAAATTCCCTGTGTTTTTTTCTTTTTTTAACCGGAACTGTCATAAAACTAATGTGTGAAAGAAAGTGTGCTGTTAATGTTAAATTACAGTTTTTCATAGCATGTGTTTCAGATATGTTTGGACTGGAATATGCAGTTACAGGTCTAACAGTAAAAACAACTGAAAAAAGAGTGGAAGAAGTCAGTATCTGACTGACCTTTGATTTTGGGTCACAGGTTAGCAAAGGATCTGTTTGACATCCAGGCACATGTATAAAACATTTCAGCTATTCACAGTTTTGGTATGTTTTGCCATTTTCCTTGAAAAACGATGCCAACACACTTATGTAATCTATGTGTGTATATATATATATATATATATATATATATATATATATATATATATATATATATATATATATATATATATATATAAGATATAATGCTGGTTTCTTGATATAGTTGGTCCTTTCAACCCAATTCTTCTAAATAATCAGCATATTTTGCTATGTCTCAGTTTAGCTTATATTCATTCTCATGTCTTAATAAAGTCCAACATGCTTTATGGGACCATCACTATTTTATTTGCTTACTTTTCCCTACAAGCAGCTATTAACAACATGTATCTACTCTATATCTCCTTAGCCTCCTTATATTTTACAGAAAATAAGAAGTTTCTGTTAGCTAGCTAATGCTAAGTAGCAACATACATGTGAGATTAAAAGCACAAACTTTATACTGAATATATACTGTGCATAAAAATACAAAGATCCAATTAAATAACATTTAAAGATATTTACAAAAAACAATAACTAACTATGCCGGACCAGCGTGATTATTTTCTATTGGCATCCATTCAAGCTAGCGTCCCATTAGCAGCCTTGGTTGTTGGGTGAAACCTGCTAATATGCATGCTTTGGAGGTTTAAAAGAGCGGAACTCTTGCTTTCAGAGACGCCTGGAAAGTGTGATTAAGAGGCTTGTCGAATGTGAAATCTTACCGATGATTTTTGTCAATTAAAACACTGACGTTTAAATCATACAAGGGAGTCTTTTCTTCTCTGCGTGATGTCTCTGCACGAAATGTCGGCACAAACATCGCGATAACAGCAACGATGACGCGAGAACGTGAAGTGTGCGCCCCCTGTTGGCTGAATTTTGTTACACAGTCTTAAGAATTTATAAACCAAATATGGAATACTAGTTAAGATAGTAAAGATATATGAAATCGTTTGAGAATCCTTACCTAAGTACAGAGGCAGTATTTAGGAAAACAGTTTAACAAGTAAGAAGCTTTAAATGAAAAAGACTTTGACCTATGACTTAAAACATGAGAAAATTTCAAATGGACTAAAATTTTAATATTTGTTTCAAAGTTATGGTTAATTGAAAGGAATTTTTATTCAAACCCCCTGAACCTTTTATCCTTTCAAATTTGCTTTAACAATGATCAACTTCTTTGTATTTTACTTTGTTTTTATATAATAGAACATGGAATGGTTCAGAGTTTAGTAAAAGGAATCATTTCACTTTGTTTTTAATAACCACATGTAAACAAAAAGCTTAAAAGCGCAAAAAGAGAAAAAAAATATTAAAAATTATAATACCCAACCACCTTTACTCTGAAACTCCCGAAGTAAAATCTCAAATTGTCAAATATTTTCCAATTGCGGTTTGAAATGTAATCTTTGTATGAATACAGCTGAACTTACAAAAAAAACTTTGTATATTTTGTATACACAGAGTGTATAAAAAACGAAATTTCGTTTATGTATAGTTTTCCGAGAGTGAATGAGCAGCAGCTTAGCAATGAAAAAGAACATTTTCATTAATCAGTGCAGCAGTGATAAAGTGTAAACAGTGTGGGAGAGGCATGGTGTAAAAAGGCATTGATGTGGAAAATAAATAAGTAGATATGGTGCAAAAATGCAGAAGACATTTGAGTTGATTACTACTAGCTGTAGAGATCAACAGCCTTGGTGCAAGGATATTGTGATTGGATAAATATTACTTGCAATTCCTACAAACCTGTGCTTTATGGAAGGGGGGTTGATAGCCATTGATAAAAATAAAAAAAAACAAAAAAAACAAGTTTTCCTCAAGCCCTGCTGGGAACAGCAAAGGTGTTGCAGAAAATCAGCATTATATTGTTGGGATTCGTTTCTTCAGCGGGGATGGGATGAGTTGGGATTCTTTGGATTTTATCTTAACATGGGGGAATCCTGCATTTATTGTATTGCATGGGGCTGCAAAAGATTTCAGGCCGAATCAGAATTCAGTTTACATGCAGAAGTTTAGTGGAATTAAAATTTGTTGTTAAATGCAAAGTGCAATTTTTATAAATTAAACAAATCAAGCTGACCTTTAGCAACTTTAACATATAACAAAAAAAAATGTTGCAAAGCTCAAAAAGACATACATCAACACTTGATGTTGTCTTGTGAAAAACAAAACATATTCATGTCCTGCCACTTTGTCATTAAGCATAATTTTACATATATTACATGACATAAAACCTTAAAAAATATATTTTTGATAAATCAAAAACAAGTTTAGCATGTATCTCACCAACGGGTTAAAAACATCAAATTAGAGAATATTCAATAAAGAAAATGAGTAAAGAAAGGGATGATATGTTTTCTTATCATTTTTGTTTTCAGCCGTGAGAAATGCATCTTTGCAGACATTTTTATGAATAGGGTTGGAAATTGTTCAATTTCAAACAACTCTGATTCTTTTTAGTAGAAGAATCCTAAATAAATGATCTGAATAAATGAGTTCCATCTGGATGAAATTGAATTCCTTGAACATCTAACTTGATAGAACATTAAGATAAAGTTTCCGTTATTTTTTTTTTTACAAATATAAGTATCAAACATATGAACTCTATTATAATCTTATGAATTTTTTTCACAGATTTTAATTTTGACAAAGTTTTATTGTTTAAAATCTTATTTAAACACATATTCAGTTTCTGATGCTGCAAATACAAGAACATTTTCCTGTGCATGAAGGCACCAGGAAACTAAGGCTGCAACTAATGATTATTTAGCAAATCGATTAATCTTTCGGTTATATTTTTCGATTAATCGATTATTAATCGGATAGTTTAAGTTTACTTAGAGAAGACTTTTTAAAGAAATTACCACTTGAGGACTTCTGGCCTGAGCATTTTAACAGAGAATAATAAAAAAAAAATCTTAAATACAAAATTTGTGTATATTTTTTACAATCTTGGTACAATTACAGCTCTAAGTGAGTTGTTCTGTCAGCTAAAGGCATGTTTTAGAATCTCTTTACTTCAGTTAATGATTAATCGATTACTAAATTAGTTAAAAATTTCAATAATCGATTAATCACAATTAGAAAACTATTATTTTTATGCTCTAAGATATGGAAAAGGTAGAAAAGGCTGAAACCTGAACCCCAAGATAAATTAGTGAAAATGTCCTAACTGGGCCAAGAAATATTTAGAGACTGATTTCTTCAAGACGTTATGGATGGATGAGATGATTGACTTGTAGGACGAGACAGGCTGTTGGCTGGATCAGCACAGATCTACATTTCAAATTAAACCTCAGCAGGGTTTAGACGGGGTTACTGGTTTTGGGTGCCTTTATCAAAGATAAACTAGACAGACCTATTTGGGTTGAAAATGGAATAAAAAAATATAACTCCATACATTCCTGCAACATTTGATAAGAAACCAACTAAATCCATGAATGGGAAGTTTGAAACCATTAATGAAAGACAGTATATTCATGGATGGATGACTGTGTAAACATGTTAGAAAAGTTTACTCGTAAACTTTATTCTTACAGTATAAGATAAACCTAGTAAAATGTGATTATTTAATTCTGTACATTAAGAATTCCCTTTTTAAATATTAAAGCTTAGGTTAGGTTTTTGACAGACTTAAACCAATGCAGCTGTTCAAAAAAAAAGTAATAATCCTAAAAAAAAAAACACACACACCTTGTAATTTTCCAACATGTATTTGATTAACATAAATATGGTAAATGAATTAAACTACATATCTAAATTTACATTGCAAAAAAAAAAAAAGACAAACTGGTCATAAGAAGTATTGACTGCATAACCATAAAGCAGTGATTTTATTGGGCAACAATGAGAGCCGTGTAACAGCAGATGGCAGCAGAAGCTGGTGTCATAAAATACAACAGCTGGAGGAGCAGAGGAACACACAGGGCAGGATTTAAAGAAAGAAATTAAACCAGGTGTTTAAATTTTCTTTTGTGTTAATCCATAGAACACTGGATTTAATTAACAACCACTGATGATTGTTTGTCACTATCCTGTCATGCAGTTATTAGTTTATATCATTGCATTAGCCCTGCGATGGACTGGCGACCTGTCCAGGGTGGGCACCAGCACCCCTCACGACCCCGCTTGGGATAAGCGTGACGGAAAATGGATGGTTAACATTTAAGTCCTGCAGAGTGTTTCCCAATAATCAAATTTTACCAGATTCCTCCTAGTAGATATTTTAAACCATAACTTGAAAAAGAAAAAAAAAGATCAATGAGCTTTAATCTGTTTATTTGAATGACAGCCTGAATTCTTTACGTTGAATCTTAAAAAAAAAAAAAAGTTTATATCAAACCGACACCTTCTGCATTCAGTTTAAACTTTCATGTTTTATCCCATGAACTGGACTGTCTCCCTTTCATATTTTTGTAACATTTACTGTATTAAAAACCCCAAAAATGTCAAATTCAAAGTGTCCCTCACTCCCACCCAAATCCCTGTTTACAGATGTAACGGCCTGAAATCAACATTTCCAAACACTCATAATTTGAATCATCCCAATCGCCATCACATTTAAATGTCATGCCTAAGCATCATCATCATCTGGTGGCGAAGCATCAAACCCACAGGGTCAGCGAAACTGTTCATAGTTAACAGCAGCTTGACATTTTTATTTCTAATGTTTCATTAAATGATCTTTTTTCTAGATGTTACCACTTTAACAAGAACAAAGTTGGATTAACGAGTTTCACCCTAAAAGGTCTTTGACAGCAGCGGACATCAGGATGATAGCCTCAGTAAATTCACATAATAAAACAGACATTACAGACGTAAACCTGCATCCAAATATTGCATATATAACTTGGAAATAAGACTAAAGATATTTTCGGTCTGATCCGTCTGATTATAAAAGCCGAACGTTAACGCTAACTGTAGCACAGCTGGCATAATACAAGCCAGGTATATATATTTTTCCTTGAGCTTCAAACTGCTCTAAATGATATAATGGTTTGTTCCACTCTGTCAATCTTACTCAGAAATGGCACAGGCACCATATTCTGGCCATTTTACTCCATTGTTGTTTCCTTTGTCATTCATAGGATTTTTTTAGACTGTTTTCAGCTGCATCTCAGATCCTATTTCGTTGACATTTTGTGAAAGCCTTGTTGCTGAAAACAACTGAGGCTGAAGTGTGGATAGTTAACATCTCTGAGGGACCAGCTCGGTGTGTTTGTATGAAATCAAAGAGCTTCAGCTACAAACAGACTTCAAGTCAGACAGGAAGTTTGTGCGTGTTTAGAGGAAGAAAAAGCTGGACCATCCTGAGGATTTCTCAGGAACTGTAATCGTATTTCGGCAGCTAAATAGGAGGCGGGGAAATGGGCGCGGTTTAGTGCTGCGTCCACTTGATGCTCTTCAGGTCGATACCTTCCTGAACCATCTCCCACAGAGGACTAAGAGAGAAGAGAAGAGAAGAGACAGGGGGAAGTTAGCATAACCAGATTAAATAATACATTTGTTACTATAAAACCTAAGATTTAGATAGGATCATAAAAAATAAAAAAAAGTAGACATCACCTCATCTCTCTGAGTCGGCGAACCTGCTGAATGCATTTCTCCGCTGTGTAATCAACCTCCTCTTCTGTGGTGAACCTGCCAATGCCAAACCTGCAGCATACAGAAACAGAAAAGCTTTTAATAAAAAACAAAAATATGAAATTAAAATAAGTTCATCTAATTTATATTTCCAGACAAATTACAGGATACAAATTGATACATAAAGCCAGGATCTGTTACTGTGACTGAACTGAACAGGAATCAATTAGATTGAATGACT